TCCCCTATCAAAGTAGACAGCCAGCGGGCGTGCACCCCTCCCCCTCCTGAATCATACCAGGCCCCATGTCCTCAACATTGGGAGAGCAGCTTGTAAGGGTTGGCGGGGGCACCAAACCCCCACCCCCCCTTCTTGGAAGACAAAGTAAAGGGGACAAGGGGCCTCCGCATCTGATGCCACATGGGGATGGGGGGAGGGGAGTATATACACTATATTGCCAGAAGTATTGGGACGCCTTTACACGCACATGAACTTTAGTGGCATCTCAGTCTTAGTCCGCAGGGTTCAGTATTGGGTTAGCTCCGCCCTCTAATGGCCCCCCAGTCTTAGTCGGTAGGGTTCAGTATTGGGTTGGCTCCGCCCTCTAATGACATCCCAGTCTTAGTCCATAGGGTTCAGTATTGGGTTGGCTCCGCCCTCTAATGACATCCCAGTCTTAGTCCGTAGGGTTCAGTATTGGGTTGGCTCCGCCCTCTAATGAGAGGGGGTGGGGCCAAATAATTTTGCCTATATGTTGTATATTGGGAGAAGCTTTCTATGGCGGTGTGTCGCTCCTAATGAAGTGCTGGAAGGTCACAATGCACATGGAGTCCATCCCACCCTGACTCCAGACCCCTCATAGTGCCGGGTTCTCATTTCATTACGAATCCGATATATTAATTTTCACTCCGTTACATTCCTGACACACGAGATTTGGTAACAAACGTCCCCATACCAGAAGTACCATAATGATCTCCTATACATTGGACTCTGTCATCCGCCTCATGCTTCAGCAGGGGATATAACACACTCTCATTTTGGGGGTCTATTTAGAATATTTGTCCTGCGAATCTCTGCAAGCGTTCGTTCTGTGCGCACGGAGGCAAAAACAAATGTTCTCGGTGCATTTCCTTTTCAGGTTGATTGTGATGTAATACCGTATTGTGACCACTAGATGGCGCTGAGGAGCACGGGGAAGAAATACGTCTCGGCTCCATCTAGTGGTCATAGTACGGTATTACACAACACTCAACCTGAAACGGAAATGTGCTAAGAATGTTCTCCCGGAACAAACATTCGGAGATTTGCAGGGCGAATGGCTCTGCGACCGGCCCGTATACATCCGTGTGCTGCTCGGGGGAAACTTGCACTTCCTGTTGTGACATATGACCCGGGTCACCCGGCTGAATTAGCTGGTTTACACTCGGCGGATCTTCTGAGGGGTTTTCTGGGATCTCTGTAAGTTTTGGATACATTGTTTTGTCACTTTTTGCCTCCTTGTGTTCCTCCATCTTATACTTTGTATCCTGGGACTGGATTGGGTATCAGAGGAAGGAAAGTGTTCTTGTGCTGACACCTATTGCCCAAATATGGTCATGGGGTCACATGATCATTACAAATGGCCGACTATAACAGAGGTCATCGGAAGGTTCGGCCAGGTAAAGTGACAGAATACGGCCGGTTGGTTCACTCGCCGGCCGCGCTGTGATCAGGTCGGGTTCCCATCTCATCCCTACAAGCAGCATGCAGGTGATCGGCTATCGGGGGAAAGTGCTGCAGACGGGAGCTCTCCTCGGTGCGCTGCATGAAACCCAGAATCCATCTTCAGGGATCGGCGTCTTTTCTGAATCAAATTGTTACAAAGTTTCTTTCCTGGAGATCCGGCCAGTGACGGCACTTCCTGCCGCAGGATGACAACGCTAAGCCAATGCCTCACCTTTATCAGCGTTGTCACCCCCGCTGTGTTCACTCCCTCAGTTGGCCATCGAGTGGTCTTCAGGTCTACCGTGTGGTCAGCCCAACAACCAACTGGAGGAGCGCATGGTGCGGGCTGACAACACTGCTGCCAATTGTGAGATGGAGGCAGAGGGTTGTCAGCCTTCAACAGGAAATACAGGAGTTTGCATCACTTTCTGTCTCAGTGATGGACCTCCCAGGGACAGGAAGTGCACAAAATCCCCCTAATAGGGACACAGATGGGAGCAAACCCGTCCCCGCTCCGTCCATAACGACGGACAGTATATGAAGATTGAGCGGATTTCCCTCATCGTGTACAACGCTCCCTCCGGCCTTCCATCTGCTCCATACATCCTGCTTATCCGGTTCCTGGTGTCGGAGTGGCCCCGGGGCGCACACAGGACGGATCTTCCTGACTCATGTCACCTCCGCCTGGGGAGTTCTAATGGCTGATATTCAAATGACACAAAACAAAGCCGAGAGAATCCGTCAGAGGAATCATTGTACCGGATTCACCCGGAACGGGTTCTGTGTAATTCGGATTCACCCGGAACGGGTTCTGTGTAATCCGGATTCACCCGCAAAGGGTTCTGTGTAATCTGGATTCACCCGCAACGGGATCTGTGTAATCCGGATTCACCCGCAACGGGATCTGTGTAATCCGGATTCACCCGGAACGGGTTCTGTGTAATCCGGATTCACCCGGAACGGGTTCTGTGTAATCCGGATTCACCCGCAACGGGTTCTGTGTAATCCGGATTCACCCGCAACGGGTTCTGTGTAATCCGGAAGGTCTTTCATTGGGTCTCAGGGCAGTAATGAACCCTCCTGTGCTGTGCGAGATGTAGAGGAAGATGGGGATGAAGATGGGGATGAAGATGGGGATGAAGTAGGGATCGGTGCAGATTTTGGACATTTTCACGAGTACTGTACTGAATGCCTCGATACCGGCGCTCTATAACTGAACCCGGGGAACCTCTGCAGCCTTCCTGGAAACCACGGCTCCTGTTTACAGCCCCAGCCGCACATCTCCTCTTCCTTCCTGAAACCACGCCTCCCGCATCCACCCACTAACTGGAACCTCTGGTGGGGCCCCGCACAGCCTCCTGAGACCCTGCACAGTGTCCTGAGACCCCACACAGCCTTCTGAGATCCCGCACAGCCTCCTGAGACCCCGAACAGCCTCCTGAGACCCCGCACAGTGTCCTGAGACCCCACACAGCCTCCTGAGACCCCGCACAGCGTCCTGAGACCCCGCACAGTGTCCTGAGACCCCACACAGCCTCCTGAGACCCCGAACAGCCTCCTAAGCACAGCCTCCTGAGACGCCGCACAGTGTCCTCAGACCCCACACAGCCTTCTGAGATCCTGCACAGCCACCGAGACCCCGAACAGCCTCCTGAGACCCCGCACAGTGTCCTGAGACCCCACACAGCCTCCTGAGACCCTGCACAGCCTCCTGAGACCCTGCACAGTGTCCTGAGACCCCGCACAGCCTCCTGAGACCCCGCACAGTGTCCTGAGACCCTGCACAGTGTCCTGAGACCCCACACAGCCTCCTGAGACCCCGCACAGCCTCCTGAGACACCGCACAGTGTCCTGAGACCCCGCACAGTTTCCTGAGACCCCACAGCCACCTGAGACCCCAAACAGCCTCCTGAGACCCCGCACAGCCACCTGAGACCCCGCACAGCCTCCTGAGACCCAGCACAGCCTCCTGAGACCCCGCACAGTGTCCTGAGACCCCACACAGCCTTCTGAGATCCCGCACAGCCACCTGAGACCCCGAACAGCCTCCTGAGACCCCGCACAGCCTCCTGAGACCCCACACAGCCTCCTGAGACCCTGCACAGCCTCCTGAGACCCTGCACAGTGTCCTGAGACCCCGCACAGCCTCCTGAGACCCCGCACAGCCTCCTGAGACCCTGCATAGCCTCCTGAGACCCTGCACAGTGTCCTGAAACCCCGCACAGCCTCCTGAGACCCCGCACAGTGTCCTGAGACCCCACACAGCCTTCTGAGATCCCGCACAACCACCTGAGACCCCGAACAGCCTCCTGAGACCCCGCACAGTTTCCTTAGACCCCACAGCCATCTGAGACCTCCCACAGCCACCTGAGACCTGGCACCGCCTTCTGAGACCCCGCACAGCCTTCTGAGACCCCGCACAGCCTTCTGAGACCCCGCACAGCCTCCTGAGACCCCGCACAGCCATCTGTGACCCCGCACAGCCTCCTGAGACCCCGCACAGCCATCTGTGACCCCGCACAGCCATCTGTGACCCCGCACAGCCCTCCTGAGATCCTGAACAGCCATCTGAGATCCCTAGGATGGAGATATGGATGAAGAATTGAATGGAGATGCGGATGATGATGATGCGGAAGATGATGAAGATGCGGATGATGATGATGCGGATGATGATGATGAAGATGCGGATGATGATGATGATGCGGATCCCATCTGTTGCATTGAATGCCGGGCTCTTGCTGATTGGGTGTAATAGGAGAGTTTCCTGACCTGCAGGTACGACCTCTGAGAGGTTAATCGCTGTGACTTCATTCTAATCACTTGTGCGGGAATCTCCTCCAGCATCTGTGACGGGAGCTCCGCCCTCTTTTGGCATGCGAAGACCCCGCACAGCCTTCTGAGACCCCGCACATCCTCCTGAGACCCCGCACAGCCATCTGTGACCCCGCACAGCCTCCTGAGACCCCGCACAGCCATCTGTGACCCCGCACAGCCATCTGTGACCCCGCACAGCCCTCCTGAGATCCTGAACAGCCATCTGAGATCCCTAGGATGGAGATATGGATGAAGAATTGAATGGAGATGCGGATGATGATGATGCGGAAGATGATGAAGATGCGGATGATGATGATGCGGATGATGATGATGAAGATGCGGATGATGATGATGATGCGGATCCCATCTGTTGCATTGAATGCCGGGCTCTTGCTGATTGGGTGTAATAGGAGAGTTTCCTGACCTGCAGGTACGACCTCTGAGAGGTTAATCGCTGTGACTTCATTCTAATCACTTGTGCGGGAATCTCCTCCAGCATCTGTGACGGGAGCTCCGCCCTCTTTTGGCATGCGAGGCGGCTCGGCCTGAATCCTTCCACATGTGACTAGCAGAGTAAACCATCTCCCAGCCAAGTGACTCAGTCAATATTTGCCGGATCTGGGAGGAAAAAGGTTTCGGCAGCTCGGCTTGACGCAATGAACTTGTCTGCTTTGGAGACGGTGACTACAGCGAGCCGACAGTTCCCGTCCATCCCCTGAGCCGTGCCAGATGTTCGTGAGCGCCGGCTGGAAGGATGAAGGACCGGCTGGAAGAGCTGCAGAACAGAGTCAGCCAGGATGACTCCCTGGACTACGACGACACGATGGCCTTCGATAACCCGGCCTTCCAGGACGGTGAGGCCAATGAGATGGACTTGTTCTTCCAGGAGGTGGCCGCCCTCTCCCTGGCGCTGCAGAGCCTGAAGAAGAAGGCGGAGGACATTGAGAAGAAGCAGGCGGAGGTCCTCTGCAGCACCACCGGGGGGAACATCGCCGACGGCAAAAAGGAACTCAACAAGATGAAGGAGCGGCTGACCTCCGACACCAAAATAATCCAGCTGCAGCTGAACCGGATCAAAGCCTCCCTGACCCGGGACAACCAGAACTGGATGGCGGAGCACCGGATCCGGCAGAATCAGTTCACCGTACTGACCAACCGGTTCCGGGAGATCGTGACCCAGCATTACATCAACGAGACCAAGTACGTGGGGAAGCTGAAGGAGCAGATCGTGAGGCAGGCCGAGCTGGCCGGCCTGGACCTCCCGGAGGACGAAATCGACCGGCTGATCGGCAGCGCCACGGCGCCCCAGATCGTCGGCCACGACCTGGAGATCCTGAAGGCCAAGCAGCACCTGGCCATGGCGCAGGAGAGACACAAGCAGCTCCTGGACCTGGAGGCCCAGATCACCGAGCTGCACTCCCTCTTCGTCCAGCTGGACCTCCTGGTGTCCGAGCAGCAGGA